CGAGGCCGGGCTCGTCCCGCATCCTCGTCGTCTCCGCCTCAACTGCCCCTCTGGCGGGCCATCCCATCCGTGTAAGTACCCCTGGTTGCGCCTACGTCAGCCACGATTGGCAGGGCATAGCAACAGGGGCGATGGGACGACGGTCAAATCTCTTTTTTTATCATTCCCCACTGACGGTGCAGGGACTACCGTGCTTTGCGGACACACGCCCTGCACTTTTCCACCTAAACCGGGCACGACGCTGACCACCGAGACCGCCGCATCGTACTCAGGTCACCTCCCAGGCCTCGGCAAATCAGGCCTCGGCGCTGTCGGCCACAAACACCTGCCAGGCCTCGGTGAACCACCAAGTCAAAAATTCACAAGGCATGGCATGTCACCTACAGAGGAGGTCATGCTGACTAAACGTCAACAAGGACCCCTTCGACTTCAACAGCCTCAGGCATGGCCGGCATGACGCACCAGTGATCAAGTACCAATTGCCATTGCCGACACTGTGCTGCTATAGGAATAGGCCACAGTACTGGATCTTCCTTCCTCGCTAAGGCTCCACGTGTAGCTCTCTCATGTACTCCTGGCTCCCTCCTTGTGGCTATAAAAGGAAGCAGCCAGGGCCGTTTCTATGGATCGAGACCACGCCGGCCCTCACGCGCAAAACGCACTCACTCAATTCACGCACGCTCCCACGCTGCCTGAGAGCAACGACTCAAGCAGCCCGCACCACTCCACGCCGAGACCTGGGACTAGCTCCCTCTCTTACCCAGTTTGTAACCCCCTACTACAAGCACTTCGGTGCAAATAATATAAGATCGATCTCCTAGACTGGACGTAGGGCACCGATTGCCTGAACCAGTATAAACCTTATGTCTCTTTGCATCATCATCCGGGATTAGGAGCACGCAGTTCATATTTACTGGTTGGTTGAGGACCCCCGGTCCGAAACACCGACAAGAAGCGTGGTCAGTTGGACTTCTTAATTGATCACAGAAGGTAGCCACCAAAGAAACGCCAAAGTACTAACAAGCGAGCTGCTGTGTCTACTTCATAAAATACAATCAGTATGAGGAAATTGTTATAGCATCTAATCCTTGACTCCATTTCTCTCTCTCTGCTAACCACGCCAAGAAGGGATCCGAAAGATGGAAGAGAGGGCTTCCTCCTCCTCCTCCTACCTTATGCTCTTCCCTAAACCCTGATTAGACCATTTGGTGCTGCCTAGGCAGGACACAGGTTCAGCATCTGCTTTCCATGCTTGTATCGAAAAGAAGCCATGCAGCCGCTCCATTTTTCATACAAGAAATACAGGAGTAGATTACCCATACCAGTTCTTGCCATTGCTCTTGTGCTGCTGATCTCTCTGGCCACCCCCACTAGATCCTGCACAGAGCAGGAGAAGACGTCTCTCCTCCAGTTCCTTGCTGGGCTCTCGAAGGATTCTGGTCTCGCCAAGTCATGGAAGGAAGAGGGCACTGATTGCTGCAAATGTCAAGGGGTCACCTGCAACGGTTACAAGGCGGTCACTGAGGTCTCTCTGCCATCTAGAGGCCTTGAAGGGTCAATCAGACCATCTCTTGGTAACCTCACCAGTCTACAGCACCTTAACTTGTCCTACAACTCTCTGTCCGGTGTCCTGCCACTAGAATTGGTGTCTTCCAGCAGCAGCATCGTCCTTGACGTCAGCTTCAACCACCTCAGTGGAGATCTGCATGAGCTGCCTTCTTCAACCCCTGGCCAGCCTCTAAAGGTACTTAACATCTCAAGCAACTTGTTTACAGGGCAGTTTACATCCACAACATGGAAGGGAATGGAGAATCTAGCCGTGCTCAATGCCAGCAACAATAGCTTTACTGGTTTGATACCAAGCCATTTCTGTAACATATCTCCATCCTTTGCTGTGCTTGAACTCTGCTACAACCAATTCAGTGGTAGAGGTCCTCCGGGGCTTGGTAATTGCTCCATGCTGAGAGTGTTCAAGGCTGGCCAAAACAACCTCAGTGGGGCACTCCCAGATGACATTTTTAATGTACCTCGTTGGAGTACTTGTCTTTACCTAGCAATGAGTTACAAGGTGCACTAGATGGTTCACACATAAGTACATAACGAACCTCAAAAATCTGACAACCCTTAATCTTGGAGGGAACAACTTCAGCGGCAGTATTCCAGATTCCATAGGTCAGCTCAAGAGACTGCAGGAGCTCGATCTCGACCACAACAGCATGACAGGAGAGCTCCCATCAACTCTGAGCAGCTGCCCAGATCTCATAACAATTGACCTCAAGAGCAACAGCTTCAGTGGAGACCGTCAAGGTCAATTTCTCCACCCTTAAAAATCGAAGAACTTTAGATCTCTTGTACAACACTTTCACCGGCACCATTCCAGAGAGCATACTCTTGCACTAATCTGACTGCACTGAGGCTATCAGGTAACAAGTTCCATGGTCAGCTTTCACAAAAAATAGTTAATCTGAAGTCGCTCACCTTCCTATCAATAGGCAGAAACAATTTCACAAATGTCACAAATACACTTCAGATCGTCACGAGATTCAGGAACCTAACCACTTTGCTTATGGGATCCGGTTTTATGGGTGAGTCCATTCCGGAGGATGAAACAATAGATGGTTTTCACAATCTTCAGTTTCTGAGTATGGCTAATTCCTCATTATGTGGAACAATACCACTTTGGTTATCCAAGCTAACTACTTTAGAGATCCTAGATTTATCTGGTAATCAACTCACTGGACCAATACCTGCATGGATCAACAGACTAAAGTTCCTCTTCTATCTAGATATATCGAACAACAGCTTTATAGGGGAAATTCCAAAATCTTTAATGCAGATGCAAATGCTAACGTCAAAGAATACTGCAGCGCATTTTGATCCAGGAATCCTTGAGCTGCCTGTTTATCAAGGACAATCGCTTCAATACCATGGGATTAGAGCTTTTCCAACAGTGTTGAATCTTGCAAGTAACAACCTTACAGGGGCAATTCCTCAAGAGATTGGTCAACTGAAAATGCTCTTGTCACAGACCCCACAATCAATCTGCAACCTCACAGACCTCGAGGTACTGGACTTATCCAATAATCATCTCACTGGAGCTATCCCGGTTGCACTGAACAATCTGCACTTCCTTTCCCAGTTTAGTGTGGCTAACAATGACCTTGAAGGGCCTATTCCAACTGGAGGACAGTTTAGCACATTTCCTATTTCTAGTTTCGAAAGGAACCCAAAGTTGTGTGGTTCTATCCTCTTTCGTAGCTGTGGATCGACTGGAGCACTTCCAGTCTCCACGAAACAACACAACAAGATCACTTTTGCAATTGCATTTGGTGTGTTCTTTGGAGCAGTTATAATTTTTCTATTGCTTGTGTGTTTCCTCATCTCAACCAAGGGTACAGCATCCATAAGAAATGATACAAGTACAACCACTGAGGATGTAGGAGCTTCACGCTCTAATGCAGAGCAACCATTTGTGATAGTTCCACAAAGAAAGGGAGAAGGAAGTAATTTCACATTCATCGACATCGTGAAGGCAACAAATAAGTTTGATAAGGAGAACATCATTGGATGTGGTGGCTATGGACTAGTATACAAGGCTGAGCTACCTGATGGGTCCAAGCTCGCCATCAAGAAGCTTAACGGTGAGGTGTGCCTCATGGAAAGGGAATTTACTGCAGAAGTTGATGCGTTGTTCATGGCACAGCATGAAAATCTAGTGCCGCTGTGGGGCTACTGCATCCAGGGGAACTCGAGGTTCCTAATATATTTGGAAAATGGCAGTCTGGACGATTGGCTTCACAACAGTGATGATGATACCAGCACATCTATTGACTGGCTGACGAGGCTCAGGATTGCCCAAGGAGCGAACCGTGGCCTTTCTTATATCCATAGTGTCTGCAAGCCTCACATTGTCCACCGTGACATCAAATCCAGCAACATCCTACTTGATAAAGAATTCAAAGCTTATGTAGCAGATTTTGGGCTGTCAAGATTGATCCTGCCTAACAAAACTCATGTCACAACTGAGTTGGTTGGCACTCTTGGTTACATTCCACCTGAGTATGGCCAAGGGTGGGTGGCTACTCTGAGAGGTGAAATATACAGTTTCGGAGTTGTCCTACTTGAGCTGCTCACAGGATTGCGACCTGTTCCAGTTCTGTCAACATCAAAAGAACTTGTCCCGTGGGTGCTGGAGATGAGGTCTCAGGGAAAGCAGATTGAGGTCCTGGATCCAACACTCCGTGGCACAGGGCATGAAGAGCAAATGCTGATGATGCTTGAAGGTGCTTGTAAGTGTGTGAACAATAATCCTGTCATGAGGCCCACTATAATGGAAGTTGTCTCATGCCTGGAAAGCATATGCTGGCCTGCCGACGCAAAAGTCAGCCAAGACATAATGCAGTAAGCATCTAGTTACACATGATGACGATGCAGTTAGGTGAATAGAGTAGATATACTTTTCTCTGCTTTTTCACTAGAGGTACCGATTTGAGTAAATTTTGAGGAAGATAAGTACTCATCCCCACAGCTACCTCATCAACATCGAAATTCTTGCACCTTAATGTCAACAATTATTCTCCAGATCACCACAATAGCAAAGTGGTTCTCTTTAACGCATCTCATGATCAATACAATGTAATGTAGACATGCTCAGGTAAAGAAGTATATACCTTACCATAGGTCACCCAACCTGATCCACCCAAAAAAAAAACAGCCTAACTCTACTTGAGCATCAAGTGGGCTAGGCTCTTAATTTTTGACACATAACCAAGATAGGAAAACCCAAGAAATAGACCAAGTTTAACCAGATGGCCCTACATGACAGAGCTCTTCAAATCTTAATTTCACAGTTCACATTGAGTAGAACTGAGGTCACAGTTTCATTCTAGAAGCACCTCTCAGCAGATGGATCAGATTCCAGGAAACTGCCATAGAATTCAACTTATAGCCAGCAGGATACAGCACTGGTCTGGCACTTGCTCGCAGCTATCCTTTGTAACCTATGGACATGACAGAACATCCAGGTACTCAAGAGCCTTGAAGTATTCAATCACTCTGCTGACCCCTGCAACTATGAGCCGAACACAGCTGCTGATCTTCAAAACTCTCAGTTCGGACTGAATCCTAGATCCTTTCTTGTCCGAGAATGCATCGTCAGTTGTCTGGTGACAACATCCGACATCGATAGCCACAAGAAGTTTATAGTTAGATAGTAGGCAGTTACATAAAAATGTGGTGTTATCTTACCCTAAAAAAATGGGCCAATAAGGATAATTACCTGGCTACAAGCCATGCATAGCACCGCCATGATAGGTGAGTTAACATGGCTTAGTTGAGTTATGACCCCAAGAATCCTATTTGCATGATCCAGCAGAAGTGAAGTGAAAATACAACTGACTCACTGGAAAGAAAATTCATTAGTATGCTTGAGAAAAAAACAGTAACCCGATGGATGTATAAAAAAGGTTAACTTTCCAGTTCCTAGAAATCTACTAATTCATAGTGCTTTTATATAGCTTGACTTGATTATATTTTTAATTAATGCACATTCCTTACTTTTCTTATCACACTGTTTTAGTATGACAGCTACACATTTGGAAAGAGTCAGATCAATATGTGATTGTTTATGTCAGCATATTTGAGTGTGTGTAAAAATATCCACAACATGCAAATTGTGCACAAATCTAGGATGTAACCTTCTCATGGTGATATTAGCTTCCATAATTGCTCAATATAGTGTAAACTGAAACACTAATGGGAATTCTGAACATGTACAGTGGAAATAACGTAAAACTTGGACTTAACATGGTGCTACACAGTCATCTATATTTTAAGAACAGCACATGCTTTGCTAACTTGTTGAGCTCCTTAAATTGTTTGGCCTACTCAGCCAAACACTAACTGATACAGTGTCTCTTGTCAGTGCTAGAATATTGTGCAGGCACACTCTTACATAGACTTTTGGTAGGGAATAGGGTGAGCTTTTCTTGACTGTAATATAAAGGAACTGTAAAATCATCATCATTAGCCAAATTCTTTCCTGAAGAATTCTTATTGGTGTTCTTTGTATGTTTTGAACTACACTTTGTTGTTGGTCCTGAAGCATTGGTATCGTTGCTCATAAGATGTGAGGACTGCCTCCCAGATTCAGCTCTTGTACCATTGGCAGCACGCCCACTGGAGTTGGCATTCATATGATCTGATGAACGAACAGGTTCAGTTGAAGGCACACAAAATGATGAGAAGAGATGTCTATCGTTGCTGCCAACCTAGAGGCAAAGGTGCAGGTGGTGCCACACTGTCATAGGTAAGATGTATCCTGTTCCTGTCACCATCTACTCCTATATACCAAGGACGCGTGAGCACACTGCAAGAAAGAAGGCTTTAAAGGAAAAGTTGTGGATGATAATATATAAATATAACTCGGCTACTAATCAAAGAAAAAGATTAGGTGCCTAGGCAGCTTTATAACATAAATATAAATAAATATATATTTGAGCTAGCAACAAAATTTTTTAATTAGCATGTAATAAATATGAGGCTATATAAATGATTGAATAATAAGTATCATTTTCTAGTTGGCTCGGCTCATGTGAGTTGGAACCGAAACTTGATTTGTGCAATCCGACTCCATCCGTCCCTCCCTCCCTGACATTTATCAACATCATGGTAGCTAGCTAGTACTCCTACCACAACATTTAACAAAAATCGACTAACAAGCGACACACAACACCAGCAAATTTGATTAATCGAAGGGCTAACCTGACTCGCAGATGTGGATTGGATGCGCATGCCATGGGGGAGCCAGAGTGGAGGGCGTGGTTGGTACAGCGGTGTTGTGGCGGTGGGAGGGGATGCCGATTGTTCGTAGAGCGCCATCTTGTTCCTGGGCAGCGCGTTTGCCTCTCCTTTGCAGCACCAACCGCCTCTGGCATCCGTGTCTGCGTCCACCTCCGCCTGGAAAGGAGCACGAGCAGAGATGGAGTCTGAGTGAAGTCTACGCGGGCACGATGGGGAGGGAGGGAGGGAGTGAGGCGCAGACGCGTAGATCGGGAGGAGAGGGAATGCAGATGGGGACTGGGGCACGCACGTGAAATCTCGGTAGCAGAGAACTGCTGCAGAGGCGACGACCCCAGATGTGTGGATTTGCAAGAGGAGGCGTACCTTGAGGACTGAGGAGCCAGCGTTGGCGGCTTGGCGCGGACGGACGGAGCTATGCTGGGCGGGGCGGCATGGCGTAGCAGTCGGGCGGGACAGGAAGGGGGGGGGGGGGGTTCCAGGCGGCGCAGCGAGGCGTTGCCGCATTGGTGTGGCGGAGCAGGGGGCGTCCACCGCGAGATGAGTAGGGGCGGGGGCTGATGGGCGGAATGGCGGTTCGCGGCTAGGCGGTGCGGCGTCGTGACGGCGAGGAGCGAGGCAAGTTGTGCGGCGGCGAACGTGGGGGCGGTGACGTGCGACTGGGCGGCTGGCCCACATGTCGGCGCAAATAGGGGTGTTGGGGTGCCATCGGCGCGCAGCGGCTTCACAACGGGCGGTAGAGGGGTCCGTTTGACATTTTTTTAGATGCGGAGGCCCCGATCGGGAGAATTTCGTGAGAGCGTGAACAGTATTTTCCCCTCAGAAACAGTGTTTTTCAGCTGGTTCTACACCAGCCGAACGGCCCCAGAGAAGAGAAGAGATGTGTGAGCGTGGCGGCTAATGTACCGTGACATTTCTTAGATTTTAGGATGTCGCAGAGCTCGCATGGGCCAAAGGACGCCCCCGAAACATAATCTAGAAGGCAAAAAAATTATAAAAATTGCCGAGTTTGACGGCTTGGCTAGCTAAATACACACTATGGGAAATATTAGGATAAAGTTGAGCCCATTTTAAGATAACTAAATTCATGAAAAGTGGTTAGCATTTCGTCAATAGAAGAACATACCATGGCCATACTAAATACTCCCTCAGTCCCTTCGCAAAAAAATAATAATATAAATCTAAACCAAGTCAAAAGTTTATTAAGTCCGACTAGGTTTATAAATAGTATCAACATTTATATTTATGTATATCTAAAGAGTTTAAGATAAAAACATATTCTATAGTTAATATGATGCTTATTTATTTATTTATTTATTTATTGCTGAAGAATAAACTTAAAATTACCTGACTTGCTGGAAAATAAGAAATTATATGATTAATTTGACCGAGAGAGTACCGCTCATGGTAAAACATGTGAAAGGAAAGACGAGCCAAGACGAGCAGTGTCTAGAGTCGTTACGTAAGCAATAATGATCCTGTGCGGGCGTCCGTCCTTTCCGGGCGCCGCGCGCCTGGGCCTGTGGCCCAATTAGAGCGACAGTCATGCCACCGAAGAAAAGAAGAGCCGCGTCGATTCCTCCGACCCCTCGCCATTTCCATCAGCAACCACGTGCACCCAGTCGCTCGCTGCCGCGCCCGCCTGCGCGCGCTCCCTAGGATGGACGTCGCGCTCGCACCCTTCCTGCCCCCGCGCTTCCTTCCTCCCTCCCTCCCACCCTTAGCGACCTCCATTGTGACCCGGCTCCCGCTCCCCCCACCGAAGACGAGGACGACGGCGACGGCTCCGACGAGGTAGGTTTGAACCCTCCTTCTCCTCCTCTGGATCTGAACCCTCATTCTCCTCCTCTGGATCTGAACCCTCGTCCTCCTCCTCCTCGTCTGGATCTGAGGGACGCGGCGGTAGCTAGGGTTCCGGCGAGCTCTAGGGTCCTATTGAAAGCCCTAGTTTAGTTTTGGATAATTAATGAAACCTATGGACTAATCCTTGAACCTAAGTGTATGACTAGATAGGATGGTCCAATCTAAGTGGTGGAGCAAGAAGAGGTCCATGGAGATGAAGATGGACATGAGATGATGGTGATCAAGCTCTAACTTGGAAAAGAAGAAAGAGAAAAATAAAAATCAAGGAAATCATGGCAAAGGTATCAAATATGTTTTTGTTTTGGCACTCAAGACACCATAGAGGGTGTGAGTGTGTTTAGAATCGATAGCCGTACTATAAAAAGGGGAAATCTTTGGCTAAGCGGTTATCGAGTGCCACTAGGTGACATGATTCTTGCATATGCATTTGGGACCTAGTGTGCTAACATTTGACCCTTGTATAATGCTTTGAAAAATGCTAACTCATGTACACACAAGTTCTACACTTTTGTAGTTAGCAACTTGGAAGCAAGGGTGAAGTGATTGCGGAGTTAGAAAAAGAAAATGAGGCGTAGGGCAGTGACCAGACGCAGGGACCTGCGCGTCCGGTGCTAAACCCTAGTTGTTGGCTTGCTGTGGTGCACCGACCGGACGCTGAGGGTGTGTCCGGTCACCTGTTCTAGAGAAGGCACAGGGAGGCTTCACGACTGGACTCTGCTGGGGACACGCGACCGGACGCGTAGGGCATGTGTCAGGTCGCACGTGACGTACGCTGACGTAGGCAACGCCGTGACTCGGCGAGTGAGGCAGTGAGGACCGGACGCCGGGGCGCGTCAGGTCACCTCTGACTGGGCGCGTCCGGTCCAAGAAAAACCTCTTTGTGTAGCTTCTGTACTCGACCGGACTCTACGAGTTGGTGCATCCGGTCATTCGAGCAGCGTGTCAGGTCATGACTTAACGTTTCACGCGACTGAGAGATGACCGTTGAGATCTAACGCGCGGGATTCAAAGGGGCGACACGTGGTAGGCATCAGCGAACCGAATGCTGATGACCAGACGCTAGGGTGCGTCCGGTCATTGAGTCCGGTCGTGTCTGCGAGCTCTCAACAGCTTTTTGAGCCAAGTGGGCTCTATAAATAGGTGTTGGCCGGCTTGGGGCTCACTCTCTTGGCACTTTAACATTCTTGACATCCTTGTGAGCCTAAGCAAACACCTCTCACCCATCTCCATCATTGATTCATCATCATAGCGAGATTGGAAGTGATTCTTAGTGCATTTAATTGAGTGATTGCATCTAGTGGCACTTGGAAATCGTTGTGGCTGTAAATTTCTTGATACTCTTGATGGTTGCTGCCACCTAGATGGCTTGGAGCAGCGGAGGAGCATTGACACGAGTTGGTGATTGTTCGTGGCCATCTCCTGGTGATTTGTGCGGGGTCTTGTGCCTTCCCTGGCGGAGCGCCGAAAGGTAACTCTAGTGGATTGCTCATGTCATTTAGTTACCTCACTTGTGGGTAGATTCTTGCGGCGTCCATTTGTTGGACTAGGTTTGTGAAACACCTATTAGCCGTTAAACCACCAAGTGTTGGTCGACACAACGGGGACTAGCGTGCGGGCAAGCACGTGAACATCGGAAGAAAAACCATGTGTCATCTTGTGATTGGATTTCTCCTGGCGATTGATTGGAATTCATATTGATTGGTTCACCTCGAGCCCATTCCCTTGCTATTTGTACGTCTTTTGCTATTTCTCCGTGTTGAAATGAGTTTTTGGGATGTTGCAACAGATGATTTTCGATATGTTGCAATGGGATTTTTAGATTGTTCGCAATAGATTATTTTCGAATGTTTCCATTTCCATGTTTCATGGTTGATTTTTACGATGTTGTAGTACTACTATTTGATATGTTGCAGTACATAATTTTTCGATGTTGCAACACATAATTTTTGATGTTGCAGCGCATAATTTTCGATGTTGCAGTACATATTTTTTCGATGCTGCACTACATATTTTTGCGATGTTGCAGTACATGATTTTTGACATTGCAGCACATAATTTTTGATGTTGCAGTACATATTTTTTCGATGTTGCGGTATATGTTTTTCGATGTTGCACTACATAATTTTACGATGTTGCACTACATAGTTTTTTCATATGTTTGCGCTGTTACACTTGAAGTGTTTTTGTACTCTTGGGACAGGATCGCGGTGGGGGAACAAGGTGTGTTGGGAACGGGACAGGGACACGGTGGGGAACGGAACGCCGTGGGGGAGTGGGGACAGGGGCGCGACGGAAAACGGGGATAGGATCACAGTGGGGAACTGAGTCAGGAGCGCGGTGGGGAACGAGACGCGGTGCGAAAGCACTTATGGCTTGTGCATATGCAGTACTACAATAGTATTCCTACGTGGTACTAGGCAAAGGCAACAGCATGGAAGATGTTTGGACATTTTTTTGGATCCTGAAAAAGTACACCAGTGCTTGCATCACATGCACAGCAGAGTCTGCCATTCACTTCCTCAATAAAAAGTCTGCCATTCACATCCTCGTGCCTGCTTTACTGCCATTCTATGGACATCGGGACTGCACATGTACAGCGACTTCTATTCAAGACAACGTATCCGTCCGATCATCAAAGTCATTACACGTGTCGAACATCCAACGCGATGGATAGATACCACACCCCCGTGGGTAGTTATCATCCGTTTTAGAAAATCCACTCTCGAAGAAATATATAAGTCCGCAAGTTGTGCCTCGCCCGTTTTCGTTTCCTTTTTTTTTCCTTTTTTGCTGTTTCCGTTTCCTATTTTTTCACCTTTTTGTTCTTTTTCGTCCACGTTAGTAATTCTTTTCTGTTTGGTTTTATGTTCCTTTTTTTGTTCAATTTTTGATAGCTTTCCGTTGTAACATCTTCTATTTTTCCATGAATATTCAAAAAATAAGAAACATAATATTATGGATCATTGAACTCGACCTTTTTTTTCTATTTTTCCATGAATATTAAAAATAAATAAGAAATATAATATTATGGATCTTTGAACTCGACCTTTTTCTTAAGAAAAAGAAAGATTCCCACCACTAAGATGTTAATGCAAGTTTGTTGATTAGGAACAAAATTTGTTTTAGAGCATCTCTAAGAGATTAATCAAAAAGACTAACTAAATTTACTAATTTAGCTACTGTCTAAAATATATTTGACAAAAAAAAAACTAGGGGTACTCCAACAGACTTAAAAAACAAAGAGGTTGGATGGCTAATAAAATAGGCTATCCAAAAGTAACAAAACGAATAAGGTGGGATGGAGAGCTAATAAATTTGGAGAGTCATTTGGAGAGTCTATTGGAGACATTTTTCTTTAAATAATAATCAAATTTATCTTTAGAAAACGATTTGGCTAATCTCTTGAAGATGCTCTTATTATAACAAGTTTAGCTTTTAGTCTAACCAATCAAACTATGAGCTAAAATTTTGACCAAATTATTGTCAGTCCGGTCTAAATAAATTTCTCTAAACTGTACACATATGTACCACTGTAATCCTCGATGAGAGTTTATAGCTTTCAAAATTTATAGAAATGGTAAAACATAAATAGATATGTACCATTTCAATCGTTGTTTTTATGAATATTTATAGTTTTTCTCTCCCTTGCAACGCACGGGCATATTTGCTAGTAATGCATATAGCACAAAAAAAACAGTATAAATGTGATGAAAATTCAATGCGCTGTTATCGAAATTCCTTTTTAACCCTGAACAAACAACTAATATCCTGCGTCTTATACATGTATTAATATTTGTTAATACTGTATGAAGTGTATATAGTACAATTTGTATGTAGAACCAAGGAATTCATGCGAATACATTTTAGTACCCAAAGCTAAGCTACAGTTAACCATGGATATTTGGTAGTCCTTGAAAAAATTGGCTTCCGCGTCTAGCTACAGTACAAACAACTTCGGCCCGGACCCAGGCTAGGAAATCGTGGGCCTCGATTTGACTGGCCTCTGCCTTTTCATTTCAAAAGGCTAGGACTATTGGCAAGTTTGTTGTTACCCAGATTTTAATGCTAACATCTCCTTAACCATATATCTGATTTGCAAGTTGTTTTTCACCATTTTATTTCTCGTACCGTGATCCTAACGACAGAACAAGATCCCACGTGCCATGTTTAATATTTTTTTCGCGAACGTGCTTTGTTTTCCATGCACGTGTGCCATGTTTTATAGTGAAGAAAAAGATAATAACATGTGAATCCTACAGGTCATATTCACACAGGTCTAGCAAAATTTGGCAGGACAACTATCCAAACTCTTTGCAGCTCTACATTTTGGTATTGTCCGAAATTTTGTTCTGCCGCAAGCCAAGCATTTAATTTATATTTATAGACTATTTTATCACTAGTCAAATTTGGCCATAAGCAAGATTTGGCTCAACCATGCACCTCCACGTTTGTTCTGGGTGGGTCCCGTCTCCATCCAGTCGTGCAGTGCAGTGCAATGCAATGAGCGCGCTGACCGACCGCGTGGAGTTGGAGTGGGAAGACCGCGTCTTCCACGCGCATGCCGTTGCCGTGGCTTCCGCTGCATGACTGCATCCTGCCGTGCTTCCACTGCATCTCCATGTCTGGCTGCAGGAAGCAGAGAGTCCGAGCCGACACGCCAGCCACTCGCTCCTCCTCAGCTGCTATGCTCCCAGCAGGTTCCTCTGCGATTGGCTCTGACTCCTGATAGCTGGATTATGTAACATAGATAGATACGTCTGCGAAAAATAAACAACTAGAGTGTGAATGGAAGGAGCAGACAATCATAAGACCCAAAGTGTTTTTCTAAGAAAAAGACACGGAAAGGGACGCATTGCTAGCTCTGCTCAGCTCAGCTCAGCTCAGCAGGCTCTCTAAGCCTCGACAGTGTTTAGTGCCATCCACTGGCTGGTCTGCAGTCGACACCCCGAGAAACTACCAGCCACCCGTGAACGTGATGACTGATGATAGACAATCATACAACGACGGGGCGACCACTATGAAATGTGCAACTGCACCCACTAACCAAGCAAAGCAATCAATCATCATCAGCATGAACATGATCAAGATGCCCAGAAAGAAAAACACGAGATCTTCAGAATCACTACCTGAATAATTTTGATAGGCCGTGTTCGTTCATGCACTCCACTCCCGTTGTCCAGTTTACTTGGAGGAGCGCATCTGGATTCCGGTCAGCAGCCAACAAGAGCAGCCGGGGTTAGGGGCCAGTGTACCTGTGGATCAGGGGCCATCGGAAACAGCCGCGAGCGTGCACATCACTGCATCAGCAGCAAGGATAACAGAAAGTAAACGCCTCGGGGCCGAGGCCGCCAATCAGACGAAGAGTAGGGCTCCAGGTCGCCCTCAGCCACCACCATCATCAACCTCTCGTCCTCTCCGCCTTTCTTATTTCTCCCAGTCTCCACTTGCGACAAATGCTATTCTCCAAAGTCCAAACCATGTTGATACCCTGACCACATCGCACGATGATTGATCTAAATTATTGCACGCGTGCCCCGGAGTGATGCTCTCCGTGTACTGTTTAAAATTGAATCTTGAAGTTCTTCAGTTTCTTTGGGAAACGTGTAACTTTTCCTGTTAACAAAAACATGTATAAAAATAGAAACATTCATCAAGTAGTGATTCCATTTTTCTTTTTACTTTTTCATTCAGTACTAATAGCTGAGGTTAAGACAACAAGTTGGTCAGCTGAAGCTGGTAGTGGTAGCACAAGTGATGCCATATCCTGATCTCAGATAGAAAGGCAGGCTGTACATCCAGTCAAATTTGTCACAAGAAGTTATGTCTGATCAGGTAAATCTCGGCAGCCTGTAATAATAATTCAGCCAGGATTGTTTAATGATGACTCGGAGAAGGCAAATATTTTATATGGCCAAGAAGCTTGTTCAGATGGATCAGGTAGCCACCAATGAAACGTCAAAGTGTGAACAAGCAAGCTGCTTCATCTGGTGTATAAAATAGAACCATAATGAGCATTTTGTTCTAGCATCTAATCCTTGACTCCATTTTTCTTTGGGTGGCCACGGCTATCAAGGGAAAAGCAAGAGCCAAGAGCCTCCTCCTTGTACTTCTACCTTATGCTCTTCCCTGTTAAGACCATTGGTAGTTTGTCTTAAACAGGGCATAGCTTAAACATCTGGTTCCCATGCTAGTTTCAATAGGAAGCCATGCAGCCACTCCACTTCTCATACAAGAGGAACAGAAACAGATTTCACATACCGTCCATTGGCCTTACCCTTGTGCTGCTCATCTCCTTGGCGCCTTGCACCAGTTCGTCCTGCATGGAGCTGGAGAGGACATCCCTCCTCCAGTTCCTCTCAGAGCTCTCGCAGGATGCCGGTCTCACCAAGCTTTGGCAAGGTACTGAGTGCTGCAAATGGGAAGGAATCACCTGCAACCAAAATGGGACAGTCAGTGCTGTCTCGCTCCCTTACAGGGGCCTTGAGGGGCTTATCTCGCAGTCCCTTGGGAACCTCACCGACCTGCAGTACCTAAACTTGTCCTACAACTCACTGTCCGGTGGCCTTCCGCTCGGATTGGTGTCATCCAGCAGCATCATCGTCATCGACGTCAGCTTCAACCAGCTCAGTGGAGACCTGATTGAGCTGCCAGCTTCAACCCCGGGCCAGCCTCTACAGGTACTTAACATCTCGAGCAACTTGTTTAAAGGGCAGTTTACATCCACAACATGGAAGGGGATGCAGAATCTGATTGCACTGAATGCCAGCAATAACAGCTTAACTGGGAAGATTCCAAGTCATTTCTGTAACATAGCACCATCCTTTGCTGTGCTTGAACTCAGTTACAACAAATTCGGTGGCAGTATCCCCTCAGGGCTTGGTAATTGTTCCATGCTCAGAGTACTCAAGGCTGGCCACAACAACCTCAGTGGGACTCTCCCCCATGAACTTTTCAATGCTACCTCGTTGGAATATCTCTCTTTTTCCAGCAACTGTTTACATGGAATACTTGATGGTACACATATAGCCAAACTCTCTAATCTGGTTATCCTTGATCTTGGAGAAAACAATTTCAGCGGCAAGATACCTGATTCCATAGGTCAACTCAAGAGATTGCAAGAACTTCATTTGGACTATAATAGCATGTATGGGGAGCTGCCATCAACCCTGAGCAACTGCACAAATCTCATAACTATAGACCTTAAGAGCAATAGTTTCAGTGGCGAACTCTCCAAGGTTAATTTCAACAATATGTCCAATCTAAGAACCATAGATCTTATGCTGAATAACTTCAGTGGCACAATTCCAGAAAGCATATACTCCTGTAGAAACCTGACTGCACTACGGCTAGCTTCGAATAAGTTCCATGGACAATTATCAGAAGGACTAGGCAATCTGAAGTCCCTCTCGTTCCTGTCGCTTACAAACAACAGTCTTTCAAATATAGCAAATGCACTTCAGATACTAAGGACCTCCAAGAACCTGAGCACACTTCTTTTTGGGATCAATTTCTTTAACGAAACCATACCAGATGATGCTGAAATTTATGGTTTTCAGAATCTTCAGGTTTTGGACATTGAAAATTGCCACCTATTGGGAGAAATACCTCTTTGGATATCAAAGTTAGTAAATTTGGAAATGTTGGTTTTAAATGGCAATCAACTCAGTGGACCTATACCAACCTGGATTGACACACTGGACTACCTTTTCTATTTAGACATATCAAACAACAGCCTTACAGGGGAAATTCCGAAAGAATTAATGAATATGCCAATGCTAACTTCAGAGAAGACTACAGCTCATTTGGACGCAAGCGTCTTTGATCTGCCAGTTTATGATGGTCCATCACGTCAATACCGCATACCAATTGCAATTCCTAAAGCTCTAAATCTAAGTAGTAACAAATTCACGGGTCTGATTCCCCCAGAGATTGGTCAGTTGAAAGCCCTCCTTTCACTTGATATCAGCTCCAACAACTTAACTGGACCGATCCCCCCATCTATCTGCAATCTCACAAACCTGCTGGTGCTAGATTTATCCAACAATAATCTCACAGGTAAAATCCCAGTTGCATTGGAGAATCTGCACTTCCTTTCCACATTCAACATTTCTAACAATGACCTGGAAGGGCCTATTCCAACTGGTGGCCAATTCAGTACATTTCAGAATTCCAGCTTTTTAGGGAATCCGAAGTTGTGTGGCTCTATGCTCAGTCATCGATGTGATTCAGCTGATGTGCCTCAGGTATCCACAAAAGGAAGAAATAAGAAGGCCAATGTTGCAATTGCAATTGGCGTGTTCTTTGCAGCAATTGCCATTCTTTTGTTGCTGTGGCGTGTCCTTGTCTCAATCAAGGCTAACAATCTAACAGCCCAAAGTAGAAGGGAGGATAATGGAGATTTTGAAACATTTTCATTCAACTCCAGCTCAGAGCACGAACTGATCATGATGACACGAGGAAAGGGAGAAGAAAGCAAGCTCACATTCTCTGACATTGTAAAAGCTACAGATAACTTCAACAAAGAAAACATCATTGGGTGTGGTGGCTATGGTCTAGTCTACAAGGCTGAGCTACCTGATGGCTGCAAGCTCGCCATCAAGAAGCTCAATGGTGAAATGTGCTTGATGGAAAGGGAGTTCACTGCAGAGGTTGAAGCACTGTCCATAGCTAAGCATGACCATCTTGTGCCACTGTGGGGATACTGCATCCAGGGAAACTCAAGGTTCCTCATATACTCCTACATGGAGAATGGCAGCCTGGACGATTGGCTTCACAACAGGGATGACGATGCCAGCACATTTCTTGACTGGCCAACAAGGCTCAGGATTGCGCAAGGAGCAAGCCGTGGCCTTTCTTATATCCATAATGACTGCAAACCTCACATTGTGCACCGTGACATCAAATGCAGCAACATCCTACTCGACAAAGAATTAAAAGCTTATGTTGCAGATTTTGGACTGTCAAGGTTGATCCTTCCCAACAAAACCCACGTCACGACAGAGTTGGTTGGCACTCTAGGTTACATCCCCCCTGAGTATGCACATGGATGGGTGGCTACTCTGAGAGGTGATATATACAGCTTTGGAGTTGTCCTTCTTGAGCTGCTCACAGGGTTGCGACCGGTTCCAGTCCAGACAACATCAAAAGAACTTGTCCCATGGGTGCTGGAGATGAGCTCTCAGGGAAAGGAAGTTGATGTCCTGGATCCAACACTCTGTGGCACAGGGCATGAAGAGCAAATGCTTAAGGTGCTTGAGGTTGCTTGCAAATGTGTGAACTATAACCCTAGCATGAGGCCACATATCATGGAAGTAGTTACATGCCTGGAAAGCATCAATGTTGGCCTGCAGACACAAAAGTCAGTCAAGACAATACAGTTAGCCAGTCATACGTGAGAATATTGTAATTTCATGCATAGAGTACATGTATCTTTAACAAGAGGTACTAGTTTTGAGTTCTACTAGTGTTATAGTGTCTTGTACAGTTTTTTGCACATACTGAGACCTGTGTACTTCTTTGAGTAAAGAATCCATCTGGACCATACCCCATCCCCTTCTTTTTCTTGAGGTGATATGTAACATGTACGCTGTTTAGTTTTCTCAAGCACTGTGAAGAAAGAAGTAAACCAAAAAAAAAAAAATGTCAAGCTCATTGAGTACCTTACTAACCCAAGTACTGACAGTAATGCTCTTTAGTGCTGTTACTCAGATCATGGGTTCCGATTCACAGAATTCACAAACCACAGGAGCTTAAGAGTAGGATATGGAATGACTAAAAGCAAACAATTTGTGGTTGGTTCAGAATGAGAGTATTACTCGATGCCTGGTCGTCAATTGGGATAAAACTACCACCTGCTGAACAGAGTGTAGAACAGTGTAGGATCACAAGCTAACATGACGATGCATTCCAACATCCAAAGTACTGAGTACAAACCATGCAACTATGCAAGAGAATACATGGTGAAGAATCTAATCCATTGCAGCGCACAGTATCGTCCAAGGAACCCCACCTCGGTGACGGAATCCAATCCAACAGTGTCATTTCATCGAACAGCCTGCACGCTGCTTCCGGGACGGCGGCACCTTGATCCGCTCCCAAAGGATCAATGCCCTTATGACCAAGACCGGCATTGCGTCGAGCAGCCCGAGGGCATCGACGAAGGCGCGAGGAAGATGAACTCGGGGTCCCAGGTCACGGCGCGCGGATGGTGGTGGTGGTTGGAGAGGGAGGAGCTACTGCAGAATTCACTTGTGGTGCTTGCCGCCCGCCCGGCGATCAGAGAATGGCACCGAGGTCGCGGCCGAAGGGCGATGGCACAGTGGCTAGCAGCGTTTGGTCTATTCAAAGTTGCACGAGGTGTGTGGCGGTGGGATTGCCGGCGGTGGCCGATGGCGGCACGACCTCGGCAACCGCATGCCGCCGAACAAGAGATTTATGAGTAACGACGACGACGACGACGAAAAAAAAAAAAAACCCACTCTTTCTTTCTCTTCTTTTTTCAAATGGAGGTGCTAGCGCCCGGAAGTCTACACGCAGCTTCCAGTCCCAGCCAATCGAACCGTGACCTAGCTCCCAGTCTCAGGTCCACCAACGGGAGCATCCCATCTAAGCATCCCCGTTTAATAGAAAAAGTGAACCGAAGCGCTACATGTCCACGTAACGGAACGGGAGAGTGTGCGCTTCTATCCGCGCCACCATCCCCTTGCGCACCCTCTCCGTCGGCCCCCAGCACGCCCTCTCCCTAGTTTGAGAAGCATGCAAGGCAGCAGAAGGCGAGGAGGAGACACCAAGGCGAGGAGGGAGATGCAATACCAGACCTACTTTTGAAACATACATATATAACACTTGCAACATACGTCTGAAGACAGATAAAACGTTTGAAACATGCGTCTAAAACACTTAAAAACACATAAAACACTTGAAAAACCATTGCAACAATATGCAACATCCAGATAAAAAACTTGCAACATATATGTGAAACATATGCAACATCCAGATAAACACATTTACAACATACGTCTGAAAAAACAGATGGAACATTGGGAGCAGACGTTTGCAACATAAGTGTGCAACCATTGCAACATATGCAACATTTCGATCTACTTTTGCAACATCTATATAAAACCTTAGCAACATACCTATGAAACAACTGAAATACTTGAAACATCGCTTGTAACATGCGCTTTTAGCGCAATGTCACCTTCCTGCTTGGACGAATGGAGCTCGACGCCAGCGCAGAGCTCGATGTCACCGATGTGGAGCTCGTTGGCGGCACAGACCTCGGCAGTGGCTACGGCAGGCGGATGGAGCGCGACCGCGACACTAGGTGCAAGTCCGGGCGGGGCAGCACCAGAGGAGTCCGTCCCGCGAGCCACGAGCGGGGTCGGCGCCGGTGGGGCGGCGCCAGCGAACGTCCGCGAGCGGGGGCATCGCGGGCAGGGGCGGCGTCTGCGAGTGGCGCAGGCAGAGTCTGTCCTACGCGAGCGGGGATGCGCATCGCAGAGCGAGCGGGTGACGCTGGTGGGGTACACGGATGAGTGGATGAGGATGAGCCGCATCCGGGCGGGAATAGGAGTCACATGACGAACGCCGTAACATATCATTATCGTTTTGCAAAAGCCCCTACTATTAATTGCAATCCGAATTTTTTTTGCATTTAATCACCATTTTTTATACTTCTATTTTTAACCGCGACCTTACATTTTACGTATAATAATACCCTATATTCATCAAATGTTAACATGATTGCTCCAATGCTAGTTAATGTATTGTTTGGCTGCATTTATCTGGATTAGGATAGAAACTTAACTAATTTCTACTTTAATTCGCGTACTCGGATACGTATGCATTGAAATAAATAGGGCGGTTTTGGCGCGGCTCGGCGAAGCCAGTTTGTGGCATTTTGTCTCCAGCTTTGTGCGATCTTGTTTGGTGTGGCTCCGCTTTGGTGCCGAAGCTAAACGTGTCTTTAACATAGAAAGAGGTGCTCCCTTTACTCCCTAGTCAAAAAATATACAAGTCTTACCTTATTTTTGGAGGAGTCTATGTCTATCGTACTTAAATTTTACTTTATCTCTAAAAAATAGTATCAACATTTATATCTTTAAATAGATTTATTACGAAGAAACATTATAAATTTAATTTACCATCACACATTATAAAATCATAAAATTATTATTGTTTTATATATTTAGTCAGACTTTTTAAGTTAATTGATTTCTCAAAAAACAAGATTTATATTTTTTTATGAGACAGAGGGAGTACATAGTTTCTGTTATACAATAAGTCAAAGTATTCTATGCAATGCAAAAATTTAAATAAATAAAGGTATCTCAATAATAATAATATAATGAACTGTCGTTACCAAAGCAGCCGTTTCCTTAGCACGAAAGAGTTGGACTATATCCAATAAATAAAATACACCAGTGTCTGCCTCAACCGAATGAAATAGCTGGAAGCCGCTGCCTGCAGAACAGCAGTGTGGACGCGTGCCCCCCAACGACTATACAGTTGTTGACCCGATTTTTCTTTCCCTCTGTAATAATAGACAAACAGGGGAGGGGAGAATAAAACAGGAGCTGCTTATTGTCTCCCCTCTTCTTCATCCTGGCATTCTTTCCTCATCAGGCCACTGAGCCATTGTCCTGGCTTCACAAGAAGGCTGCAACCTGTTCCGGTCATGTCAACATCAAAAGAGCGAGTTTCATTAAAAAAAACATCAAAAGAGCGCGACGAGGGAAAGCGGATTGAGCCCTGGATTCAGCACACTCTGCAGGAAGAGCAAACGCTGAAGAGTCTTGAATGTTGCTTGAAGGTGAATGGACCATGAACCTTGGTGCCGGCTACCATGGAAGAAGCCTCATGCCTGTAAGCATTGATGCTGGCCTGCAGAAGCAAAATTCAGTCAAGAAACAATGTGGTTAGCCAGCAAACATGGTAATGTGTTTATGTGCGTAGAGTAAATGTGTATTCCCTAGACGAACTACTCCCAAGATCCGAGTAATATTGTACTATAACAATGTGATATTGTAGTTTACATGCGTAGAGTTGTTTGGAGTTTGACTAATGTTATAGTACACATAATAAGCAAATTGCCAGCCATAGTTGCCTCTAAAAAATTGTCATCAGACAATTTACTGCTCATAGAAAAGGGTGCATCATCCTATCCTACAAAAACAAAAAGTGAATCAAGCAGTGAATTCAGATTTTGTCAGTAATAACGGTAAGACTGCATGCAGGTTCGTTAAGTGAAAGTCTGAGGCTGGTAAGAGAAGTGATGTCAGATCGGGTAGATCACGGTGGGCTGTAAGAAATTCAACAAGCATTCTAGGCTGACCAGAAAAAAACAAATATTTTGCATGGTCAGGAAGCTTGGGCAGCTGGGCTTCTTGATGGATCATTGCATCACATACCAATGAAATGTCAAAGTAGAATAAATGAGCTGTTGCCCCGTTCGGCTTACCTTAAATTCGGTTTGTTTGGCTTCTTTTTTTAACCGGAACAGTATTTTTTTCTCACAACATTTCAGCCAGAACAGTGTTTTTCAGCCAAATTTCAGCAAGCCGAACGGGGCCAATACAATCACTGTGAGGATTTTGTTACAGCATCTTATGTTTGATTTCATTTTTCTTTGTGGTGGCGACGACCAAAAAGGATCAAGATGGAACCAAGAGGCTGTTAGACATAATTCACTGCTCCCCATTCTCTCCTTGGTTGGAGACTGTTCGGCTCGGCCGACCACTCCCTGTTGGGAGTTGGAGACTGATCGGCTCTGCCGACCAGTTTCTGTAGCTGTAGCAGTATTGCAATATGTCATATCTAGTACATTAGTTGGTAGCTATTACATCACCCATGTCTTAGTAGTGGGCTGAGGTAAGCTTTGTATTGCTAGGAGTAGTTGGTATACTTTGTACTTTAGGAGTATGTAGTTGGTGTACCATGTACCTTAGGAGTAGGGAGTTGGTATACTTTTATACTCAGGAGTAGGTAGTTGGCCAACAATTATGTACCTGGTAGAGGTATAGCTAGAGTTGTATATATTCCATCCAAAGTGCAATGGAATACGTAGTTCAGTTGCCCTAAACCAAAGGGCAGGGCTTCGGGCAACGCTGGTGCTTGTGCTGAGTGTGTGTGCGCTGTTCTCAATCTCTTCTTCTACCTCTAGCCATAGTGAGTATGTGTGTGTGCTGGTAAGCTAGTTGTTTACCTGTGCAGGGCAGTCAGGGATCAACAAGTGGTATCAGAGCCGTACAAGCGTCGTCGCCGGACTAACCGCTGACAATGACGGACGGTTTGGAGATGGGCGACAGCAGCGACGCTGTTGTGGCTGCCCAGCCACGATAGGAAGTCGTTGTGCGCACGGTGCGGGAGGTCAGCGGCACCAGTTGGCCGACACTGACTCGCACCAACTATGGCGAATGGGCGGTAACCATGAAGGTCAAGCTCAGAGCCGGACGGCTCTGGAATGCTATTGATAAGGGCACCGACAACGAAGAAGACGACATGTCAGCGTTGGAAGCCATCCTCGCTATTGTGCCAGCGGAGTACAGAGAACCGTTGGGGGCGAAGAGCTCTGCTAAGGAGGCGTGGGAGGTCATTGCGGCGATGCGCGTTGGTTCCGACCGTGCAAAGAAGGTGACGGCCCAGCTGCTGAAGCAGCAATACGCCAACCTCAAGTTCAAGGATGGTGAATCGGTGGAGGACTTCTCCCTCCGCCTACAGACACTCGATTGTGCATGGCTTTTACTAGGGGCTCCCGCTGTATCTTGTGGAAGGGCATCGGCTCCCCCCGCGACAACATCCGGGAGCCACTGGCACGGGCGGTCACAATGGCGCCCAACCAGCCCTTGCTGAACCGTCTTCTGCTATAGCTCGCGCCCATGTTCGACGAGCCTTGCGGGCTGCCACCGGCGCAGCCTTACGATCACCGCATACATCTCCTTCCGAGCACTGCGCCAGTCGCCGTCTGTCCCTACCGTTACCCACAGCTGCAGAAGGACGAGCTTGAGCGCCAGTGCTCGGCCATGCTTGCCCAAGGGATCATCTGGCCGAGTACATCTCTGTTCTCCGGCCCGGTGCTCCTGGTTCAGAAGGCGGATGCGTCCTGGCATTTCTGCATCGACTACCGTGCTCTCAACGCCAAGACATCCAAGGACAAATTCCCGATTCTGGTGGTCGATGAGCTACTCGACGAGCTCCATGGGGCGTGTTTCTTCACTAAGCTTGACCTACGCTCGGGCTACCACCAGGTGCGCATGCACCCCGATGACTTCGCCAAGACTGCATTTCCGTACACACCATGGCCACTTTGAGTTCCTGGTGATGACGTTCAGCCTTTCGAATGCTTCGGTGACGTTCTAGGCCTTGATGAATGATGTGCTTCATCTCTTCCTATGCAAGTTCGTCCCTATGTTCTTCGACGATATACTCATCTATAGTTCGT